CAATTTAATAGACTCATAGACTCCAAGGTCAGAAGGGACCATTATGATCATCTAGTCTGAGAATAGTTGTGTAACCTAGCATATTTTGTGCAGTTACACAACTATTCAATTAATCACTATCTAACATCCCTAGTAGTGGGTCCAACTCTAAATTTAGATGCCAAAATCAGTGCATAAAGATTTGCATATATTACAGAGCTCCAGTAACAGCCATGGGGTGCCCATAGCACTCAGTGTCCTACCCCCAAGTTGGTGGAGGGATTCTGATTCACTCTTCTATCTTTGCTTAGGTTGCGCCAAGAGATCAGCATTTGGTCCTTTGATTTAGTTGCATATTTTTTGAGTTTCTTAGTTATAACTTGAGGGGATATTTTAACAACAAAAAAATTCAAGTATACTTCATGAATGCCATAGGTTAAGGCAAATGAATGTCTTGCAGAAATTGTATATGCAGTTGTGACATGTGAAGCCAACTTTGTTTGTAAGAAGAATTTTAGGCAAATGTAAGGTAGGCTTGAGATTAAGTGTAGAACTATGCAATGGAGATAAGCTTCAGCTGTGTTGGGATGTAAAACTGAAATCTAATGTGTACAAGTGATCCTTTCTTCTGCCTTCATTAATATTTAAATAATTATAGTAATGTTATGAAAATTTGTATTAAAGTTTTTATAGTTAAGATATTAAAATATTGAAGACTTATCTCCAAACTGACTGGTCTTCGGCATATTTTTGAAGTTGCTATCTTAGGATATAGCATTCTATTCCAGGCTAACTAATATTTTGATGCACTGAATCTTACCGTTCAACTGTCTTATGTTTTTTATAGTTTTCAGAAGCTAAACACTATCACAACAAGTTAGTGAATATTAGAAAAGAGATGATGATACTCCATGAAAAGACGACAAAACTAAAAGTGAGTGGAATGAGTGTTGTTTCCTTGTGTCCGCTGTCTATTGATGTATAATTTTAATGGCATACTATTAACATACACTCAATCAGTATTTTTAATACATTAGGAACTTGAACAAGAATCTGGCCTTCTAGATCCCGCTCTTCTTTGTGTAAACTTGTTTACTCTGTTTTTTCAATTGCGCTGAAACTATCCATGGCTAGTTTTAACCTTCACTTAAATGTTCTTACACTAAAACATATTTGTATATTAGCATCACTGGTGGTGATGAAGCAGATAGAAGCTAGCTTTTCTTAATGGAAGTTGAGGCTGAGAATTTCTTCTGCCTCTCCATCCTTGAATATAACACTCACAACGGGACAACTTCTGTCAGCATGGTGGGCTGCTGTATATAGCAAGTCTGACTAATTCAGGTGTTAAATTTTGTCCGTCAGTCCTTGGCTAGAAACTAAGTCCTCTGTGGAGGCAATGACTTCCATAATATATACTCCTCTCGTGTACATAGTGGGATGTGGAGGAATCCAGTTAATCTCTCCCCTAGATAGATCCCCATGATATAGGACTAGGGAAAATGACAGGAAAAGAAGATTGAGGGAAGAACCCTCTCATTTAAGAGGGCCAGAGGTTTTTGGCAAGATCTCAGTCTTGTGTGCATGTGTGTTGTGTTAACTTAGGATCCTAACCCCACAGAACTTCTGAGTGATTTTTTTTTTTTTCTGGTTCAGAAAAGAGCACTTAAACTTCAGCAGAAGAGGCAGAAAGAAGAACTAGAACGAGAACAGCAACGTGAGAAGGAACTTGAAAGAGAGAAACAGTTAACAGCAAAACCAGCTAGAAGGACATAAAAGCCTGTGCATACCTCAACTTGTCCAAATCAATTATTTTTAAACTTTCTGGACTTGTTAAGGCAGAATCTATTATACTGGTGAGCTAAAGTTGTTATTGGGAAAAGTCTCTTGTACAGTTTTTTAGAAATTCCAGAATGCTAAATAACCAGTTGGTAAATAGCCACTTTTCCATTTCAACCATTCAGGATGCCTTCCTTTCTAATGCTATGCAGTTTAATATTAATCATAACGTAAATTTAGTTTTGATATATGTAGGGGAATTTAAACATAATTTTAAGTACATATCTGTTCACTTTCATCTTTCTGATGTTTTAAATATTCACTAAGAAATAGGCTGTGTATTCTTTCAGACAAAATGTTGAATGTGACTTGTGCAGTTCTGGGAGTTCAGTTTGGATCCATGGACTTCCACAGCTCTGTACTCCTTTGAGGATGCGTCAGTTCAGATTTGTCTAATTGTTGACGTCATTGGTCACAAGTAATAGCCTTTTATGCCAATTTCGGTATAGTGGTTCTACCTCCCCCCGATTGCTATGTAACTGAGCATGTATATTATTGATCATGTGTGAGAAGTGCAAATGTCCTTATTTTGGGATTCTTTCCTCCTCTCCTACACTTCACACGCAGAGGCTGATGGTCTCCCCAATATTTGCTAAAATAAAGGGAGTCTTTAACCCTTCTTCCTTGTTATCAGATCTTATCATGGTTTGAGATGATAACTTCTGACTAGTTCCTAAGCCCAAAAGGATGAATGTTAAAAACCTGTGAAATTAAGATGGGCACAACCACATGCACCATACAAGAGTGATACTACAATGAATTGCCGGCCCTTGTGCTTGGATAAGCATTTCCTTTGATAGCTAAATCAGATTACTGTAATTTGAAGTAGGGATGTAAAGGACTAGTTGACTACTTGATAAGCCTGAGTTTTCTGGTAGTCGAGAAGACTGCTTGCATTCTCCCCTGCCCCTTGCTGCCTCTTTATCAGAGGCAGTAAGGGAGGAGATCAGGAGCCAGTGCCGGGGGGAGTCAGCTTAAAACCTGGTTCCCCTAGCACCATCTGTGCAGTGCTGCCCGCTCCCCACACTTGCTGCTGCCTCCATTAGAGGCAATGGGGTAGGGTCTGCTTCCATGAAGCAACCCCTGTCTGTGGCAACCCAGTTGCAGGTGGGGGCTGCTTTGCAGCAGCAGTCCCTATGTGCGTGGGGTTCCATTGGGAAGTTGGGATTCTCTTCCCCTTTCTCCTCCCTCCCTGTGCAGCAACTCTTAGCTGGGCAAGCATTCCAACTTAGTTCCAGCTCACGCTGTGTGCAGGACACAACCCTTCTGTGGCTCTGCAATTTAAAACCTAGTAGAAGCCAGGGGCAGGTTGCCCAGCTCTTACTGCCTTTTACATTTCAGAGCCGCAGCAGGGTTTGGTCCCACATCTGACCTGAGCCAAAACTGAGCTGGGCAGCTTATCTACTAATCAAATTGCCAACAGAATTTTTATCGACTCCTCAATTACATAAATACTTGCATTTTAGCATCTCTAAATTGACAGTACTAGTTAGAGGGAGATGATGAAATCAAGTCAGTTATTGTTTAACAGATCTTAATTTGTTCAAAATTTGTAGATTTCATTGCTCTCTGTAACTGACACTGATATAAATTTTCAGGAAAAATTCCTGCGGTGTTATATTGTTTCATGCAGTTGACCCAATTTTAACTCTTAGATTTAATTGAGAGACTCTGTTTCACATGGTTAAACATTTTCACCAGTGCTGATGAGAGTTAATACTGAAAAACTGTATCCCAGATGCTCTTAAGCAAATATGGGGTAGGGTTTAATTACAAATTTTCTGAATGTGTAACTGCTTTCTTACAGAATTGGTAAAAGCCTCTTGTTTAATGTATATTTAACAGTATAGATAAGCTTTTAACTATTTCATTTCTGCCGTCTGATAAAGTAGTTATTTTACATCTGTACCTTTTAAAATAAATATTAGTAAAATAAATGTTGTCACCTGAGCTGATATATTTATCAGGAAGATAAACTTTGTATAAACTATAACAATGACTGGCAAGACATTTAAAGGGATATCAACTTTGAAATATAATTGGTTTTTAAAACATAATTAAAACTAATTTCAAGTACTACAGTAAAACTCCATTAGTCCGGCATCCAATGCTCCGGGACTCCTGATGGTCCGGCACCAGCAGGAACCCGGAAGTGCTGGGGCAGCTGGACAGGCTTCCCCCATTTAGCTGCTGCTGAAACTGACCAGCAGCTGAATCAGGGAAGCCGGGAGCAGAGCAACTGGGGTGCTGCCCAGTTGGTCCTGCAGCGCTGCTCAGGAGTGGTGCTGTGGGACCAACCGGGCAGCACTCCAGCTGCTCTGCCCTCCTTTCCCCCAGT